AGGTTGCTGAATGAGGAACTGCACAAAAGAAATGCTGGCTCCTTGTGGTCTTTCAGATCATTAAAAAGTAACCCAGGTGGCAAAACCAGTTATCATTTTCTCAGCTACAGTAGATAAAAGAGCAAGACTGGACACCAATCTGTGGCTACATGATGGCAAAACCATCAGCCCAGAGCAAAACAGGGTTCATCAATTCCGTGGAAAATACGGAGTCAAAGAGATTACTTGGCATTGTGCAGGCGCCAACCTGTTGATTTGACTGATTTTGCTTTTTCAGATGTTGATCTAGTCTTGAAAAGTCTCACACACCCAAACTCACTGATCCTGATTTTCTCTCTCTTGCAGCACCTTGTACATATAGGATAAAACTCTTGAGGTACCCAGCTGGAAAAGGAAAAGTTAGGGGGACGTGAGGCCAATTCCCTGCTAGGGTTAAAGGAGTTCCAATACATTGTTAGCAATGATTAGTAATCAACCATCTGAATGCTTTTTAGTTTCATTATAATACAGAAATTATTAGGAAATAATTTTTAGGCAGATAGAAAGGGCAAAAGGAGTTCTTGGAAAGGCTTTTTCTTTTAATAACAGCAACCCCCGAACCATTTATTTTCTAACAGAAAATGGCTTGAAGGGTCAGGTCGGCAAGATTTGATATGCAAATGCTGGCCATTAGAAACAGTCCACCCAATATGGCAATTCCTGCCTCCTTCTTCTTGTCACCAGGTGTGCCAAGAGTCACGGCTGCCTCCAAGTAACACCATGTGTTCAGAACATCATGGCGACCCATATTTGCATACTAAAGGGGTAAGGTAGGAGGGCCCGGTTTTTCCCGGGCTACCTAAATGACACACCTCATCAAAACCAATCCCCTGGGCCCTATGCAAACCAAACACCGCCTCCTACAGCATCCCAATATAAGCAATCACTTTCCATCGCACAGGAGATTTCTCTTCATTTGAGTCTCCCCTCCCTCTGTCTCTGTACAGGGAAGCTGTTTTCTTCGTCCTTCCTTCTTCTTGCCTAATAAACTTTCTGCTCCTTAAAGCCACTCCATGTGTATTCATGTTGTTTTATCTAAATTGGCATGAGACCGAGGACCCTGGAATTCCTCCAGTCACTGAAGCCATATCAATTATTTAGTGTACTTAAATTATAGTCCGTCCCAATGTTCCTTCTTTTCTTGCCAAGAAAACATGCAGCCTAATTACAATCCCCCTAGAATGTGTGGCTGCTGCAGTAGAAAAATGCTTTAGATCAACAAGCATTTTCTCTAAACATGCTGCTTCTCTCCTGTAATGCCCAGAATCAAATGGGTCCTTAAATAGGGGCCCATGACAGCAATGCACAATAGTGGCTTCTAGGAGCAGATGGGTAAGCAGAAAACTAAAAGAGGAAGGTAGGTGGCTGAGAGAAAGACTTTGGCTTAGAAAAGTAGATTTCAGAAGCTGCAAAGTGAGCTAAGAAAGTTGCTTGAATTGTGGTTTAAATACTGAAATGACAGACATGTCAATGTTGGAAACAAGAACAATTTCTCATGGCAGAGGTCTCTTAGTCTGTTTGTGCTGCTCATACAAAATACCCGAAACTGAGTATAAAGAAATGTATTGCTCCCAGTTCTGGAGTCTGGGTAGCCCAAGATTCAGGTGCTGCAGGTTTGGTGTCTGGTGAAGGTCCGTTTTACAAAGATAGATCTGTCTAGGTGTCCTCATATGGTGGAAGGGATGGATAAGGTCAAAAGGGGATGAACAGTGTCCTCATGCATCAAAGAAATGAAAGGGCAAAAGGGAACACCCTAAACTAGTTATCCCCAGCTCTTTTCTAGGGTACAAATACATTCATAAAGGCAGAACCCTCATGACTTAATCACTTCCTAAAAGGTCTTCCCCACCTCTTAATACCATCACAATGGAGATAAAGTTTCAATAGTGAATATTGTGGGCCCTGATACCATAGCAAAAGGAAAAGCAACTGGGGATTTGGACAAACTACTTAACTTCTCTAGGCTCCCTCTGTTAATTAAGGAAATTGGATCTCAGCTTCCAAAGTTTTTCTTGATCTCCTTCTGCAAGCAAAAGTTAATCCAGAAGCCCAATAAGTAAAACTGATAGAAGGGGTGTTGTTCTCATGGTAGAGGTTTTTGGGGAGGTAGGCTTGCTGTTGAAGTTCAAGCTCCCTTACCCTTCTAACTTAGTCCCGGAAGGAACTTCTTGGTGCATCTTTCAATAGCACTGTGGTAAATCATTTTTAGGGGTTGTTTCAGTTTCGATGTTATATAATCCTACTGGTTCTCAAAGTGTGATGCCAGAAGCATCATTATTAGACATGCAGATTTTCAAGCGACTCCCCATACTTACTGAATCAGACACTCTGGAGATGGGCCCCAGCAATCTGTGTTTTAAAAGCCCTTCAGGGGATTCTAATGCACCTCTTTGAGAGCCATTGTTTTGCTCCCCAATGCTAAAGAGCTGTGTTCCTTCTGAACAGTTGCCAATACTGAGACCATTCAAGGAGAACTGAGTAGACTGGGGTAAGCAAGGAAAGAAGCAAGTGGGGAAAGAACTTAGGAACAACTGTGAATTTCTCCTGAGAATCAGATACCAGAGAGCTGCTCAAGACACTGCCCTGCCAAGTCTTTAGATCCTTTGAGAAGAGTTGGGAAACAAGTACATCCTCAGCATCTGTAATGTTTGGGTTTTAAAAAGCAGTGACAAAGGACATTTCAACATGCAATTGAAACAACATGCTTTTGAAAAAATGTGCTCTGCCTGGCCCTGTCCTCCCCACTGTTGCCTAATGATCCCCCTTCCATGATATTTGTTTGGTTAGTTTATACAGAGATATGGATGAAATGAGGCCCCATAATAATGTCAACGATAACCATGATGACAATAATAGCAGTAGCTAGAGAATGGCAGGCACTGTGCTAATTTACATTGGTTTTCTTATTCAATCCTTATAATATCTTTATGAGGGACTATTGTTATCTATAATTTTATAGGTTAAAAAAATGAGGTCGGGAAAGGTCAAGTAACTTGTGTGGTAGGCAAAATAACGGCTTCCCAAAGATGTCCACATCCTGATTCCTGAAAACTGTTAATGTGTCATATTACATATCAAAGGGATTTTGGAGATATTAAAAATGGCGAAATGGGGAGATTATCTTAGATTATCTAGAAGTGTCCAAAATGGTCACCAGAGTCCTTATAAGAGGAAGGCAGGAGGGTCAGAATCAGAGAAGGAGATATGATAATGGAAGCAGAAGTCAGAGTGATGTAGCCACAATCCAAGTAACATGGGCAACCTCTAAAGGCTGGAAAAGGCAAGAAGCTGATTCTCCTCTAGAGTGTCCAGAAAGAACAGATTTCTGCAACACCTTCATTTTAGCCCCATGAGACCCATTTCTGACTTCTGACCTCCAGAGTTGTAAGATAATACAACTGTATTTTTTGTTTAGCTACTGTTTGCATTAATTTTTTACAGCAGCAATAGGAAATGTAATACATTTGTCAAGGTCACACAGCCATTAGGTCATAGGGGCAGGGATACAACGTTACACTGTCTGATTCCAGAACCCACCCTCAATTTGAATCCTTGCAAAGGTATTTAGGATCTACCCTACAGGGATATGAATGTCAAGCGAGATGAAGACACATGGATACTCTCTCCCAAGTTGTCTTTTGTCCTCATCAATCACCAATCTAGCTATGAGAAGGCTCTTTATTTCTTCGATGAGGCTTTGTGGCAAACAGTGGGACATTCCACATGGACTACTTTAAACTCCTCCTCTAAATGTATTACTTGCTGAATTTGCCAATGGAGCAGGGTTCCTCTTTGGATGGCAGAACTGTCTCCGTGTTTAAGTGCTTCATAACAGGTTGCTTGGTAAGTGAATGGTTTTTCTCTTCCTTCCTGAATGAACTATCTACACGGGTAGGTGCTAGTCAAACACATTCACTTCTTCACTTTCAAGGGAACAACCAGTTCCTGCTTACCTGGACATTCTAGAAGGAAGCAGCAAGGAATTGTTTTCACAAGTCATGTCCCACCTTCATGACTACCTTCTCTGAGGTTCTTTCTTAACTGTGTAATGTGGGGATGGTATTGTTTGCTCCAAGCACCACAAAGACTCTTCCTGAAGATCTATGAGTTTATAGATGTGGAAATGCTTTCAAAACTCAAAAACTTCAGCTCTGCCAAATGCTTATTATTGTTTCCTTAACAGATTCCTTATTGCCACCTTTTAACTTCATTGTCAGTGCAAAAATAAAAAGTGTTGACAGGCTGGATGGAATCTTGTGACTCAGGCATTTGGTGTCTGTGGGAGAGTGAGGAGGAAGGAGAAGTTAGCAATTGGAGACACTTAAGAAATTGGAGAAAAACCCTAGCTCAAAGAGTTGAAATCAGGATAAATTCATACAGAAAAACTTCAAAGTATATGCTTTTTCTAGTGTTCAAGATTGAAAATGAGAAGTACCTTTCCAATAATTGGCCTTCAAAGCATTTATGAAGACATTATCAACACATTTAAGATAGGGGACCCCATGTGTTTTCAAAAATCTCATTGCTAGCAGTAAGACATGAAAAATGAAAAGAGGACCATTTAAGTTCTTCTCATCCTTCAGGATCCAATTGAAGTCACATATCTTTTCTGAAGGCTTCCCTAACCACCCCAGCTCATGGGAATGGTTCCTTGTGTAGACATGGCATGTTTCATCTCTGCCATTCATGGGCACTTGGCATTCACTGTGTGCCAGGAATTTTATTTGTTTGAAAACCAACTGGATTTTAAGTTATGTGCTCTATGTCCTCCCAGGTCTTAGAATAATATAGACTACATCAGATCAGGTGATGTATTCAATTTCTAGAAAACTTTTGCTTACAACTAAAGGACTCATACCATATCGCCCTGTGGCTTTTCCTAAGCTTTTGGTATTATCCTGCTTGCTCCCTCACTCTATCTTCCTTTGATTTACTGTCATCTTTTCTTTACTCTACATCAGCTTCCTTTTGGTAGCCCAAAGTCAGAATCCTGGATCTTGAAGTACATGCTGTGACATACCAGACCAATCCTTGCTTCTGGACCAAGGTACCCATTCCCCCAACTTCTGGGAATACTGTCAGATGATGGCTCTCAGGTGAGTCATATTCTAAGTGCTGCCCAGGAAAGCCATCTTACCCAAGGTCACACTTCTTCCTCAGTGTGTGTGCATAAAAAAATGTGGAATATAAAGTTCCCCGCCTCAAGGTGGTTCAACTCTGAAGGGCCACCCCAGCTCAAGAACTCCCTGTGCGATTGGCTGAGTCCTTTAGTATGACTATATTGCAGCTTAACTCCCCCCTCAGCCAATCTGTCCTGCTTCCTTCACTTCCCCAGAAGTGAGGCTCCTGAGAGCTTTCCCAATATACTTCCTGCTTACAAACCTCCACATAAGAGGATGTTTCCTAGAGAAGCTGCTCTATGACAGATCTTTCGTATAAATAAGAGGACAAACAGTGTCCACAGCAAGGAGGATTGATGGAGGCCTGTCTCACCTAAAGTCAAGCCAGACCAATCTGGCCACAGCTACCAATTCCTGGCAGTGAACACAGCCATCATTCTGGCCATAACATGCCAGAAAGGTGAACTTTGGCTATTTGTGGTCTCTGTCATTGCTCTCCAGTAGAACTTTCTGTGCCGATGGGAATGTATTCTACGTCTTTCCTGTCCAATGCAATAACCAATAGCTACTTGTGGCTATTGAGCACTAGAAATGCTATGGTGACTAAGGAGTTTAATTTTTTACTTTTATTTTTATTTTATTTTAGTCTCACTTTGTTGCTCAGACTAAAGGGCAGTGGCGTGATCTTGGCTCACTGCAACCCCTGCCTCGTGGGTTCAAGTAATTCTCATGCCTCAGTCTCCCGAGTAGCTGGGACTACACGTGCTTGCCACCATATGTGACTAATTTCTTTTCTTTTCTTTCTTTTTTTTTTTTTTATTTGAGGTGGAGTCTCGCTCTGTGCCCAGGCTGGAGTGCAGTGGCACGATCTCAGCTCACTGCAACCTCCACCTCCCTGGTTCAAGCAATTCCCCTGCCTCAACCTCCCGAGTAGCTGGGATTACAAGCACATGCCACCATGTCCAGCTAATTTTTTGTATTTTTAGTAGAGACAGGGTTTTACCATGTTGACCAGACTGGTCTTGACCTCCTGACCTCAGGCAATCTGCCTGATTTTTTGTATTTGTAGTAAAGACAAGGTTTTGCCATGTTGGCCAAGCTGGTCTCAAATGCCTGACCTCAAGTGATCCACCCACCTTAGGCTCCCAAAGTGCTGGGATTACAGGTGTGAGCCACTACACCCAGCCAGGAATTTAAATTTTATTAATTAATTTATATTTAAATAGCCACATGTGTGTGATGGCTACCATATTGCACAGAGCAGCTCAAGATGATGAGCTGCTCTACAGAGGGCATGTCACAACAGTTCCAGTTCCATATGCCTTTACTTCCACCACTCCAAGTGGAAAACACTTGGTCTGACCCTTAAAAATCATTCTGATGAGGCATATCTAGGAACTGTGTACTAGTGATGTCTAATTATAAAGTGGCCCAATAATGACTCTGAGCATTGTTAAATCTGAGTGCCAGAGAACTTTGTTGTATGTTTAAGTTGATTATAGCACAGAAATCTAGTCATAATCACTCACTTTAATTGTCTTTTATTCTGGTGACCCTTTAAGGAGTTTCTCATTTAGGTAAAGAGATATAACATCTATCTGTGTATAAATTGAAATTAAGGAATTCCCTTTTCTCGATTTTATACTTGTGTAGATTTCATGAATGCTTACTTCTTTTCCATTTGGTCTATATAATCTCGGGGACTTTGCTTTATGTTTCGTATATACGAAAAGGTAAAAAAGAGCAAGAGATAGCTTCCAGCTTGAGGTGGGAAGGTTCACAGCTTGGAGACCCACGGGAGATCTTTCGTCCTGCCCTGTTCCTTAAACAGGAATGATATCTTATTACTGACCCAGAAATGTCACATGGGACCCACAGTGAGAGCATGTAGCCACACCTTGCCAAGCTTGTGACCACTCCTGCAAAAACATGTACATGCATGCCATACAGATAAGAAGTCATTGCCATCAGCCTGCCTACCAAGGACCAACCCTTACAAAATCAGGCTGTTCTACTAAGTGAAACTGAAATTGAATTCAACGCAATTTGAAAGTATTCTGTTTACTTAAAGCCTAGAAGCCTGGCGTGTGAAGAAGAATCCAGGGACAGGAGATGGTTGTTAAATTTGTACATTTTTCTTTCTTGTTGCAATTTTATCTTTGCCGAGAAATTTAATGAAGACTCCAGAGAAAAGAATTAAATGTCTGCTGGTTCAATTACCAAGTAATGAAAAGGTCGAAAGGAGCACCATGCACTGTGTGCAGAGCTGCTAGTTCAGCCTATTCTTAGAGTAAAATTCTTTTCCGTGCTGTTCACAGTCGCATTTTGCCACCCACAAACTGTACAGATGAGTGTTGGTGTGAGAAGCAAAAACCACGTGCTGGTACAGATCATCCTCCACAGGGTGAAAGGGCCTTGGTCCCTGGGGAGCATCTCATGACACCCACGCAGGAGCTATGGGCAGAGTAGAGGCCATGGATTTCAGGAGGGACCAGTCTGTTGTTAAATCCACACTTTGAGAAGATTCTAATCATCCTTGGCGCTGAATACATTTTTAACCAGCCTGTTCTTAGGACCACATGCAGGGGAAGCCTCAGGAGCAAAACAGACTTGCCAGCAAGGATTTCAAGGGCTCCCAGCAGTCCCTGACAGCATTTGGAAAGCCACTCCTGTCCCCAACCTGCCCCAGTTGTACACAGAAAAGAAAGATTCCTGTAACACACAAATCCTCTACAGCAGCTAAAACCAAAGATAAACTATGGTGCTTTGGAATTCCTTAGAATTTTGGTTCTAATGTTTTCAAAATCAAGCCTCCAAGAGACTGAGGCAGGAGAATCGCTCGAACCTGGGAGGCAGAGTGTGCAGTGAGCCGAGACCGTAGCACTGCACTCCAGCCTGGGTGAAAGAGCAAGACCCAGTCCCCCCGCTGCCACCACCCCAAAAATCAAGCCTTCCTAGAAATACTATGCAAGGGAAGGGAAGAGGCAGTGAAGTATAGACTCCTCTCACCTCAGCACCATGGTGACAGTCTCCCTGCTCATGCTGGGACCAATGCAAACACCTGTTACCACCAACACTGAAAGACTGAATGAGAAAGTCATCATATAGCTTATTCTTCAGCTTTAAATCAAGTTCTCTTTTGGTTATATAAAAGTCTTGTTTTTAGGAAATACACACTGAAATGCTTAATGATAAAGGGTTATGGCTATGATATATATAACTGACCCATAGAAAAAGTATGTGTCTCTATATCTCTGGACATACATGTATGTGTTCATATACATACATGTATATGTGTTCATATACTTACATGTGTGTTCATATACATACATGTACACTCATAGTGTTCATATACATGTGTGTTTTTCATATATACATTCATGTTTATATAAATGTGTCTATATATTCATAAATGTGTGTGATCATATACATATGTGTGTTCATATACATATGTGTATACATATTAATATTAATGTATGTTTGCATGTGGTGGGAAGGCAAGCTAGAACAAATGATAAAGCAAACAGGGTGAAATGTAAACAATAGGTGAATCTAGGGAAAGGGAATTTGAGTAGTCTTTGAGCTCTTTTTATTTACTTATTTGCTTATTTTATTTACTTATTAGAGATAGGGATTTGCTATGTTGCCGAGGTTGGAGTACAGTGGCTATTCACAGGCACAATCACAGTGTACTTGCACTTGCTATGGCTGGAGACAGGATTATGGCTCAGGAAGGTGAGAATATCTCTAGCTAATTTCTTCCTCTTTTTCCTTAAAGTACTATGTCCAAGGACATTAGATGTTTAAGGTTTTAAAAGTAGCTAAAGTATCTCAAACCACTTTAAAATATATGAAAAAAACAAACTATATGAAGAAAAGAAAACTCCCAAATTATTTATGCCACTCTTTTATTTTATTTTTTGGTCTCTTGTATAAGATACAACAAGATCAATACCTTATGAAAAATCAAATCTCTTTGAATATAGGAAGAGACCTTGATTGTTACTGTTTCTCCTGTATTGCCCAACAACGGAATTGTAGAGTGCAATTGAGTAAAGACATGAATAAATGAATAAGCAGCACCTAAAATAAAGTTCTAAATTCAACCCCTCACCTTGAGAATTCATTTTAAAATCTACTAATATCTAAGCACAGGCATTTTTATCTATGGAGTTCTCTCTACATATTTTTATCCTCCTTTTCTCTATTCTTTTTTAGACCTCTGTATCTAAAGCTGACTAGGGCCATTAGGAAAGAGAAAATGTAAGGTACAAAAGGGGAGAAGATATTTGCTACATACATTACTGATATAGGATTAATATCTAGAAAATAAAATTCATTCCTACAAATAAATTAGAATTAGACAATTCAAAAGAAAAATTGTCAAAAACCTGAATAGGCATTTTACTGAAGAGAAAGCACAAATGGCCAAAATACTTGCAAATATGTTCAAAGTCATCAGTAAGTGGAAAAAAACAAATTAAAACCACAAAGATCCTGTCATAACCACTAAATTGGCAAAAATTTCCAAGTCTGACAATACCAAAGTGCTGACAAAGACATAGAACAATGGCACGCATATACTGCTGGAGGGAATAAAAATGGGCACAGCCACTTTGGAAAACAATTTGGCATTACATAGCAAAGTCGAAGGTATGCACACCCTATGACTCAACGTTTCCACTCCCGTGTATGCCTGAGAAACTTCAGCAAAGACGCAGTGGAGACCGTGTGCAAAACTATTCATAATAATACTTTCATAATGGAAGCCATCCAAAGTCTGCCAACAAGACCAGTAACTTGAGGCATATCATATCATAAGACACTCTACAGCACTGAAAATGTATAAACAACAGCTGTATGCATCAACAAAGATGGCCCTCAGGAACATGATGTTGGGTGAAAAAAAGCAAATTGCAGGAGAATGCATACTTATGAGCCCATTCATGGAA